TTGACAAAAATATGGAGATTATACTCTTTGGGACTACCAATGTGTCACCTCAATATGGAATCACTGATATGTCATTTCTGTTCTTTTGACTCTCACGTTTCAGAAGTATGGTCGTTTCACTACCACAGCATTTTTCTTTTCCATTTGTAATTTTATATCCTACCACCTTTTAAAATTTGAGAGCAACTATATGTATGACACCTTTCCTAAAATGGATATGAATCCAAGTTCTCACAATGACAGAATAACAACAACAATAATAGTATATATATATATATATATATAGCATGATGTTCCAGGTACAGTGCTAAGCATTTTACAATTATTATCTCATTTGTTCCCTACAACAATTCTGGAAAGCAGGTACTGTTATATCCCCATTTTACAGTTGAGGAAACTGAGGCAAAAAGAGGTTAAGTGACTTGCCCAGAGTTACCCAGCTAGTAAGTGTCTAAGGTAAAATTTGAACTCAAGTCTTCCTGAAGCCAGGTCCAATGCTCTGTACACTATGGCACCACCTAGATGCCTCACATGCAAGTGAAAAGAATCCTATTGAAGGAATAACTAAAGTCAACATCACATTAGCTAACATGATTTTTTTTAAGGTATTAAAAATGTTTGTTCCTTTTTCATGTCATTTTAGTCTTTAAATAAATCAGGATATTAACAAATATAATGTTAACCAGCATTTTTAAAATAATTAACTTTTAATAGCTAACAGCAAATAGATGAATCTGAAACTGGGAAACCTACCTGGCTTACAACAGAACTCATTCATTTGTTCTGTATTAACTTGTGAAATAAGGTCTAAATTCTCTCTTCTAAAGGCTATCAACCTAGTATGATTCAGACAGCAGAAAAGATCTATTGTGTGGAGCAGGGGAGGAAGAGAGTCTTATACATATTGCCCCAAATCATGAGCAATATTTAGCATGCGCTTAAATATTATTCAGATTATTCAAACTGGGATAAAAGAATTCAAGAAGCAATAATGCTTAAACACCTTAAAATAAAACAAAAATATATATTAAATCATTCAAATGGCCTCTTATACCAGTTGTCTCTTATGTGTCATATTGTCTTAATTCTAATTTCTATAAGCCTAAAGAGTAGTTTGCAAGTAAGTGGTGTTCTGGATGGGTCAGGACAGTATAGTTCCTTACTGCTACTAGCCATATATTCTCTCCATATTTATGCCTACCTCCTTTAACACTAATTCCCAGTTTGTGGTTCCATTCAGAAAGAGTTATTCAGGACTTTGTGATTATCAACCTAGAAAATCCATTAGGAAGAACTACCTTCTCTTCAAAGCCCCTGACACACAGGTTAAATTATATTACAACAAATATAACAAAGTGTTCTGTGTTATAATGTTATTTATGTGAACTATGCTTGCAGATAATCAATAATAAGAACAATATTTTGATGATCTGTTAATAACAAATTCTCTACAATGAATAACTCTGTATAACAAATAGTATCTCAGTTCCTTATCAAGGTTAACTCCCTCTCTCCTATAAAAGTATCTATGTTAGAAAAGAGAAGGCAAGAATTAGGTTATAGTAGAGCTCTTTAAAGCTCTTTTGTCCTGCTAATGGGCTAAAGGCCCATTTCCCACATCTCAGCCATCATTGTCCACCTAAATCTCCAAACCATCAATCATAATAAAAACATACTAAAAAAAATATTCCTGGAGCTTTAAGGAAGAAGGGACTGAATAAAAATATAAACACAAAATGTCCCTCTTTGCCCATCTGCGCCCAGCACACTCTATTCACTACATGGAGGTTGGGCATCTGTTTCCTCTCCAGATTTTAAAAATCTCAAATATTATATTCATTTAAAAATTTTACTGCAATAAAAATATTTAGATTGTTCATGGAATTTGTTACAACAGAATTTTATCGAGGATCATAAATTTTTAAAGCTGGAAGGGACCTCTGATACTATCTGGTCCAACCTCCCTCACATTAGAGATAGGAAAACTGAGGCCAAGAGAAAGAAAACTGAGGCCAAGAGATAGGAAAACTGAGGCCCCTACTCCACACAACAGATCTTTTCTGCTGTCTGCATCATACTAAGTAGATAACCTTTAGAACAGAGAATTTAGACTTTATTTCACAAATGAAGTTTCTTGTTCCAAGGTCACATAGTAAGTTAACAGAGCAACTCTTTCCAGTCTACCAACTGCCTCTTTAGCTGCTTTGATACAGGCTCCTTTGCTGCCTATAAATAACATTGAGTTGATTCATGAAGACCCAATTCCCCTAGTCCAATTATTTCATTCTAACAATGAAGAACCCAACGGTCAGGGAAGTTAAAGAGTTTTGTCAAAAGTTATGAAGCTAGAAGCAGCTAGGTGGTGCAGTGGATTGAGCACCGGCCCCGGAGTCAAGAGGACCTGAGTTCAAATCCGTCCTCAGACACATAACACTTACTAGCTGTGTGACTCTAGGCAAGTCACTTAACCCCAACTGCCTCACCAAAAAAAAAAAAAAGTTATGAAGCTAGTCAGTAGCAGAACTGAAGGGCTATAAGTCTCATCAACCTTCTTTAACTATGACACTGTCTTTCCTGTACTTAAGAAGTTCAATATTATCTAAAGATTCAAATTATCAAATTTTCTAAAGAAAACATTCAAAATATAAATCCTAAATAGTAATTCATAACTTTGGGGATAAAATCTCTATATCTGTCATCTCTCTGCAGATGACTCACAGGTACATATCCAGCCCCAATCCCTTCCCTGGGCTCCTACATCACCAGTTACCTATTAGACATGGCAAATTGGATGTCCCAGAGACATCTCAGATTCACTGTGTTCACAAACCGTTTGCTCCCAATCCCTGCCCTCTTCCAAATTTTCCTATCTCTGCCCAAGGCACTGCCATCCCCCCCGCCTCTCAAGTTCATAACCTCTGAATCATTGTCCCTTCTCACCATCTCTCCCCTCACACATCCAATCAGTCCCCAAACCTTGCCATTTCTCCCTTTACAAAATCTTTCATATCCAACCCTTTCTCTTCACTCCCAAAACTATCATCCCCTTAGTTCAGGCCCACATCTCTCTAATTCGCCCAACTCAGCACTGCAACAGCCTTCTACTTGTTCTCCCCATCTCAAGGCTCTTCCTAGTCTAGCCCATCCTCCACTCTTCTGACAAATTTTCCTTAAGAGCAAATCTGACTTTGTGACTCTCCAACTTGACAAACTCCAGTGGCTCCATTACCTCAAGGATCAAATATAAACTCTGTTTAGCTTGCAAAGCCCTAGATAAGTCGGCCTCAGCCTATCTTTTCAGCCTTACTGGATATTACTACTCCTTCCACACCAAGTCCAACCAAACTGGACCCTCTTTGTTCCTCATATGCAATACTTCATTTCCTGTCTGTATGCCTTCATGTCCCATATGCCTGGAATGAACTACCTCCTTACTTTTCCCTCCTAATGTTCAGAATGCCTTTCTTCCCTTAAGACAGAGCTCAAACATAGTCTTCTGTATGAAGGCCTTCCCAAGCCTGCCCAAATTGTTCCTGCCCTACCCTGCATTTGACTACTTCGTATTTATTTACTTTATATTTAGGCTGTATATACATTGATGTATGTCTACTTGTCTCTCCCATTAGATTATAGTTCTTTCCAGTAGGGATTGTTTTATTCATTTTACTTGTATATCCAGTGCCTAGAAAAGTGTCTGTCACATAATATTAATAAATACTTGTTGGTTAACTGAATGCTACAGCCAGAATCTGTAGCATCTGGTTTAGCTGTGCAACCAGAAGCAAGTCACTGAACTCCTCAGATTCTGAGTTTCCTCATCTGCAAAATGAGAATAATAATACTGAGGTACCTCCCTCAAAGAATTGTTGTGAGGCTCAAATGACTATATATATAATGTCTTTTGCAAACTTTTAAGTGATATATATGTCAGTTATCATAACAAAGGATAAAAATTTGAAAAGAAGACTGTCTCAGCTAAAACCCCCCAAAAATGCTTTTACTTATTGGTATGGAATTCAAAATTTTAAACTCCATCTTACAAAAAAAAAGTTACATATATATATGAGAAAAGGAAAATACAAGAATTTTCAGTAATTGTCCTAGTCTTTAAATGGCATAAAAGTTTGATTATTTAAAGCTTTTATAATGGAACAAAACATTCTATTCTTAAGAATTGAACCAGATGATCTCTAATCTTCTAGCTCTGACAAACTATGATATCCTGTGACCTACTTATTAAATTAAAATACCAATAGTGAAAAAGAATATAACTTTACTAATCTAAAGTCAATCCAATACTTATTCCTCCTGTGAGTCTTGTGCTTTCACTAGTTTCAAGTACAAGTTACTTTCTCTTTTAAGTGAAACCTACCATTTCTCTTGGAAGAAAAGATACTCATCATGAACAAATTAGATGAATTGGGCTAGAATTGAAAAAAGGGGAAAAAAGGGAATACAATGTTTGTGTACACCTATATACACACTTTAAAATACTTGTAACATTCTCAAAAGCAATGTGAAATCCCATACATCTGTTGTTGTTCAGTCACGTCTGATTCTTCATGACCCCATTTGAGGTTTTCATGTCAAAGATACTAGAGTGATTTGCCATCTCCTTCTCCAGTTCATTTTATAGATGAGGAAACTGAGGCAAACAGGGTGAAATGGCTTGCACAGTGTTACACAGCTAGTGTCTAAGGTCACATTTGAACTCAGGTCTTCCTGATTCCCAGCTCAGTTCTCTATCCAGTGCTGCCCCATGCCACCTACTTGCGCATACATCTATAAATCAATTAATAAGAAAGGAAAGCAGATGCTTTTAAAACTATCAAATTTAAAAAAAAAACTAACCTCTCCATTAGTTAACTAAAATAAAACTCTGCTTTTTTCTTTTTGGAATGACACCAAATAATTTTAGCATCTACAATTCTGAAGCCATGAATTTGGAGGCTGCAAGGGATATGACCCAAATCAAAATGTAAATAAACTACTTTTGGTACCTGTTTAACTCCTTTTAGAGGCTGAATGGTAGTGGGAAAGCACTGGACCTGGAGTCAGGAGAACCTGAGTTCGAATCTGTGGAAAACAGATCATAAGTTTAGAGTTGGATGGGACTTGAAAGGGATCAGAGATTTAGAGCAAAATTGAAGCTAAAAAAAAAATTAACCTTAGACATAATCTAGTTCAATTACTTTTTTTTTTACATATAAGCAAACTGAGGTCAAGAGTTTTTAAGCAATTTGCCCAATCCCACACTAACAGAAAGAGCTACAAAATCTAATTCATACCCAAGTCCTCCAACTCCACAACCAATTTTTTTTTAATTACACCACATTACTTTCTTGGCTTTTAACACAGTCTGACCAAGTTTGCATCAGTTTTCTTATCTGCAAAATCTGAATATCTTATGTAAGATAATGTGTATAAAGCACTTTGCAAAACTTAAAATGCTGTCAGTTATTTTTATTTCACCAGCAAAATTGGAATTGCTGAATGACACCGACCTTTTTGTACTCTTAACTCACAAGATACTGTTACAGTTTAGTATACAAAAAAAACCCTCAAGTCTATTTAAAGAAGTTAAATAGGTGTCAGATGCATTTGCTATTGTAATTTGTATCAAGTCCAAGCAATCTTTGCATTCAAGATCTTCGGGACTATGCTTAAAAAAAAAAAGGCTTGGTGTCACTCAGATTGTTATTTTACCTTTGTTTTGTTTTTAAGAAAGAATGAAATACTTAATAAAAGTCACCTAAAGGGTCTCACTTAGAAGTTGGACATAAGTAAGCAATGTCAGGGGAGGGAGGGGGGAATCACAGTGTTTTCAAGTGTCAGATTTTCACTACTTAATAGTATTCTGGAGGTCGAATTGTCAGGAAGTGAAATTACTCTGCCAGCAAAATCCCAGCACGAAGCATTGGTACAGGACAGGAGGAGGGTATGTGGAGACATACTGCCCTAAATTTACAAAAATAGCAACAAGACCAAATTAGGGGTGTGTGGGGGGCAACGCTGGAGAAGGAACTTGGCAAAATCATAAACACTTTAACACTATGTAACAAAATCAAAGTTAACTGTAGCTCCAGGAAAGCACACCCTGAAAAGTAGGAAACCTGGGTTTCAAATTAAAACAATGTATTTGTCTTCTATATAGCTCTTTCAAGGATCACAGACCTCAAATACAGCTAAAAAAAAAAATCATAGAAACATGTCTTATGAAAAAGTAAGCAAGATCACATTCATCAAAGATCCTTTAGGTTCCCTTCTTCTGACCCTACTACAGGCACAAGAAATTTCCTTAAAATTTTCATTTTCCTATTCTGATGCCATGGCTAAGAATATTACATAAACCCAAATGACGATCTATTAAGGTAAATTTTCACATATGGAAAGAACTTTAATTCATGAGTTGCTATACCTATGTATCAATCAAGAAGCATTTTTAAGTGTATTCAGTGTACCTTTCTCCTCTTCCTCCTCCTCGTCCCACCCTCAGCTACTTCTAACCCTTCACAGTGTCTCAGAACAAGGCATCTCCTTAACTTGTACCAGACACGGACTAAATAGTAACGAGAACTCCTGGATATGGGGGCTGGATCCAGAAATCCCTGCCCACTATCAGTGACAATCTCCTCACTGCTCCCTAATCACATCCCTAAGCCCAAGAACTACCCAGACCGGTGCGATGCCTTCCCCTCAATACCACTACCCCCCAAGAAATCACAAGGGCTTGGCATAGGGGGATTTCAGTGTGAAAGGAGCCAAGCCAACTCCCAGGTTGAGGGGGGGGTCCTGGGTCCTCTCCCTTCCCGCCGCCCCCCCCACACCCCAAAGCAAGCCCACAGTGGTTGAACGGCAAACTTTTCCCTAAGGAAGGAGGAGGTTCGCCCCCTGGGAGTTGGGGGGAGGGGGTTCTGTGGGGGAAGTGGGGGGGAAGGCTGGGTCGGGGTCCTGGTCTGGGAAGGGCTCTCCGGGGAGCGGGGTGGGGCAAGGCTGGGGTGGGGGACGCCGGGGAGGGATTACCCTTAGAAGCCCGGAGCCGGCAAAGAGTTTCTAAAAACCCCACCCCGCGCGCTCCCCACCCGTATCCCAGCCGGAGATGGGGGGCTCGGGCGCAAATTCCGGGGTCCCCCCGCGGGGAGACCAGCCGCTCAGCGCGGGCCTGAAAGGAAACTTTCGGGGCCGCGGCTGCACCTGCCTCCCCACGCCCGCCCCACCCACCCACCCACCCACGGCGGCCACCCCAGGTCACGGCTCCGAGCTGGAGGGGGCGATGATGGCGGGGGGCTGAGGATGAGCCGCTCGCCCCCCACTTCTGCTCCTGCCAGGCCCAGCCGCCCCACGGGGGCCGCTCCCGGGCCGGAGCGTGGGGTCTGGCCCTGGGCCGGAGCTCCCCGGTGCCAGCCCTAGGCCAGGATGTGCCTGCTCCCCTTGCTGTGTGTGTGGGGGGGGGGTAACTTGGAGGCTCAACGGGGGATCCCGGGGCGCCAAGGGGCCCGCGGTCACGGGGGTCCCGCCGGCCTGAGGCCTAAGCGGCGCCTCCCCCTCCCCTCCCCCACGCACTTTCACCCCCCCCACTCCCAAGGCCCGGCTCCCCAGCCCCGCAGCCCTCGCTCCCCTCCCGCGGCGGAGGCCCGTGTGTAGTGAGCGGGGGTCCCGAGACCCCCGCCCCCAGCCCCTGCGCGGCCGCCGCCCCAGCCCCCGGCCCCCTTACCCCGGCATTCCCAGCCCCGGGCCTGTGGCGGCCCGGCGCCTCCCCGGCCTCACGTGAGCACGTCCGGCGCCCGCCCTACCTCCGCGGCCCGGCCCGGCGCCCTACGGGAGCCCGGGGATGGGGGCCGGGCCTGGGGCCGCCTCCGCTTACCTTGGAGCTGCTTTTTTTCCCCTCCTCTTCCCCCCTTTCCCCTCGGCTGGGGCTGACAGACGAGAGGCGCGGAGAGAGGCGCTGGCCGAGGGCGAGGAGCCGCCGCCGCCGCCGCCGCCGCCGCTCCCCCCCGGGCTCCCCGAGAGCCTCTCCCGCTCAGGCCGGGGCGCCGAGCATCATCTTTTTATTGGGGAAACTCCAGAGCGCTCCCGGGGTCGGTGATTATTGAGGGGAAATCCCTGAATCTAGGCTCCAGCCAAGAAGGCAGGGCTGCTGGGGCTGCACCACAAGAGGAGCCAGCAGCCTCCTACAGCACCACTACCGGCACTGAGAGGACATAACACCAGACAGCCGCTCCTCGGCCCTGCGAAACGACAACTTTCCTACCATCTTGGAGCTAGAGCGAGGGGGGCAGGGGCACAGAGGGCACCGCGCCGCTGCCCAGGTACAGGACGGGGGCGGCGGCCCGCGACCCCCCGAGCCCGAGGACGAGTGCCCGGCGGGGCGGGGGCGGCGGCCCTGCACGGCCGGCCTGGCGTGGCCGGGGAGAGCCAAAAGGCTCCTGCTCGCCTGCTCCAAGGACTTTTTTTTTTTTGCAAGAAACAGGTGTTTCTCTCTTCTCCACCACCCCCACCCCCTTCCTATCCTAATTCCCCCTTCCACCTAAATCTCAGGGGGTGAGTTTAATTTTTTTTAAGGTAATTTTTTTTCCTCCCCACTCCTTTACAGATTCAACTTGAAGGGCTGGTGGCTAGTTGTTATTCCTACTTCCACTTTTATCATCCCTTCCTTCCTCCCTCTTCATCCTCGTCCTCATCCTCCCTCCTCATTCTCATCCTCTCCTCATTTTTATCCTCTCTCTTCATCTTTGTGCTCATCCTCCCTTCTCCTCCTTATCATCATCCTGTCTCCTCCTTCTGATCATTCTCTCTCATCCTGATTTTCACTTCACTTCCTCATCCTCTCTCCTCCTCCTTAATGCTCGTCCTCCCTTCTCATTCTTATCCTCTCTTCTTGTCCTTTATGTTCCTCATCCTTATGCCCATCCATCCCTCTTCATCCTTATACTCCTCCTCTCTCCTCATCGTTATGCTTATCCCCCCTCCTCATCTTCATCCTCCTCCTCTATATATACCCTCAAAACTGAGTTTCCTGTAAGACCAAGGTAAAGAAAAAGATGCTCCCAGCTTTTTTTTTTCCCAGGCAATGTAAATAGAACTGTCCAGGAGAAATAAGACACAGCCGTTCCTTGTTGTTTTTTGTTTGTTTGTTTGTTTGTTTTCTTTTATTTGCCTCCCCTCAATCTTCAGTGCAAAGAGATAACAGAGTCTTAAGAACTCTCCCTCATCTAAGTAAGTATAACCAATTACCTTTCTGGAAGAGTATTCTTAATCTGGTGTGTTCTCTGACCACGAAGGGAGGGGAGACTTGGACACTGATAGTTTCAAGATAGCAGGTGGGTTTTTGGTAGTGTATTTGGTTGGATTTTTTTTTTTGTATGATGAAAAAGTTGTTTCAGAACCCTGTCCACTGGAAAATATTTGTTTGGGTTCCAATTGATTGGACTTTTTTTGCTCTTTGGTAACTATGAATACCTATGTCACAGAAAGGAGAGAGCCAGACAAATTACTTTTTTGGGGTTGTATAAATGCTATTTTTTATAAATGATAGCATTTGTTCTGTTGCAAATAGAGGTGGTTAATTAATTTTAATTTTTTTTAAAGCGCAAAGCTGCCTTGATTAAGTTGGACCAAAAGTACATCCATGCTAAAAAAAAAAAAAAAAAAAAAGGTATCTAGAGGTGAAAGACCAAGAGTTTGTACACTAGCGACTACAAGCCTAGTTTTTTCCAGCAGAATTCTTCTGGGGAGGTGAGCAACTGGGCATAGACCTTTCTGGTTTTATGTAAGAGGAATGTGCACTAAGAAAACTACAATCTTCTTTTTGTAGCTTATGGAGATAAATGCTAATTAAAGCACATGTTAAAGTTACTTGATACAGTTTGGCTAATGTGGAGGAAATTTAAAAGTGAAATTGATGTTTTTTTGTAGTGGTGGTTTTGAGATGGCATGCTATATGGTTTTACTCAACTTAAGTTTCACTTAATTTAATATAGATATATGAGGTATTTTTGGATGACTTCACTCATAGCATTTGTTTCCAAACCTCTAAAAATTTGTTTATCTGCAACTTTAAGCTGAGCTCTAAAAAATTATAAATTAACATAGGCATGTCAGCTATAGATAACACATATATAGTGTTATAGATTATGTGATATGTATACACTCATTTCATCACATAAGACTGGGCTTTTCAGTGATGTTCTTTTATTTTTGTGAGAATAAAATAAAATAAATTTTACCAGTCCTCTTTATCATTAGAAAACTCATGGATATGACTTTGTGTTCTGTTTGTTCCTAAGGAATAATTAGGGGGCTCACAGAGCTTGGCTGTAGTGACTGTTTAATAAACAAATTCTTGTTTGACTGAAGTAAACTGAAAGACCTCTTCTTTAAAAAAAAAAGTATAATAAGCATATCAGTTTAAAAAATCAAATTCTAATAAGATAAACAAGGGATTTAGACCTAAGAGTTCGTTTTTTCCCACCCCACCTTTTGTAGAGTTCCACTTTAATTGAAAAAGCTTTATATTCTCCTCTACTAGATTGCATACTCCTTGGAAGGCATGGACTGCATGTATTCATCTTTATAGCCCCTTAGCACCAAGTAGTCTCCAGTGCATATAGTGTGCATTTAATAAATGTTTGAATGAATTCTAGAAGAGAAACCACTGAAAGATAATAGCATGTAGTGGTTTGTATATCACTACGCTTTACTGATTCACCATCAGGAACAACACATACTTTGAGTTTGTCCGGGAGTAGTGATAGGCTTTTTCATTAAACTGTTCACACATTTATTTCAGTCCCCTTTGTAGTCACAAAGATCCAAATTTGCAAAGCTTCTATCTAAGGCAGCAGTTCTCAGAGCATGGTCCAGGGAACCAGAACTCTTTCAGAAGGTTCGTGAAAACAAAACTATTTTCATAATAAAAAGAAGACGTTTAATTTCTAATACTGTAACTATCAATTGATATAACCCACATAAACAAAAGTTCTTTGTGGGGTCCTCAGTCATTTTTAATAGTGTACAGGGGTCCTGAGACCAAAAAATATGAGAACCACTGGACTAAGGAAAGGATGCAATTTCTGGTCATGGGGTAAATATTTTTCTTTTTATAAATCTTTGTAAGGACCTCTCCCATTACTGGCTGCATTAGTGCCAGGCTCCAGCTAACTAAACAACTAAGACCAAAAGGGCTGAAAAGAATGCCATTGAATTTGAAGTATCAGAAAAGCCAAAATAAGTGTGGCCCCAAACACCTCATTTGTAGGTCAGTCTTTGCCCTTTACCTTCACCTTAGCACTGGGGGATACCTAAGGATCTGACATAGGTTGAGAAACAGTAGACTACTTTTGCAGAGTAGAGCTCCAACAAGCTTGCCAGCAGGTTTTTCAGTACCACTATTGATTCTCTTTAGTCCAGGAACTTTTCTTTATTGCCCAGTATGTGGGCAGCCAATGCTATGGGGAGTCCCACTCTGTTCCTGCAGTCCAGGGGAGCATATCAAGGGTTTATGTCATAAGATACCGAGTTTCCCCAAATTATGGTGGAATGCTAACACAACTGTATTCCACAAATGGGGTTTGGGACACCTCTGTGAAACTTAGCCTCTGTTGTGGCAAATTTCTAATCTTGGAGAGAAATTAAAAATTTTATCCAAATTCTAATGCTCTTTATTTAGGAAAAGAGAATTCCTTTGTGATTTCTGCAGTAATCAGTTTGTATTCTGAAGCATGAAAATAGATTGTCTTTGATTCAGCTTATATAATTATAAAAGTTCCTTAGGATTGTAAAGTAATATAGTTATTTTTAAAAACTAGCCTACTTTTGAAGAGCTCTCCAATGCCAAACACAGAACTTTATGTCTGATTCTGGAGGAAATAAGGAGCCAGTGGCATTTATTGGGGATGGAAACATGGTCATACATGCACTTTAGGAAAATCACTTTTGCAGATGAGTGGAAAATGGAATGGAATGGAAATAAGATAACATATGTAAAGCATTTTGTAAACTTTAAAGCACCATATAAATACTAGGTATTATAATAAATTTAGTTGTTCAACTGACTGGAAAAAATGTAATTAACTGGTCATTATCTTCCGTATTCTTTACTTATATTCCTTTTAATTCCTACTTAATATTCCTCTACTATAATTCCTTTTAATGTACTTCCTCAATATTTTACCTGTGATTTTGTACATGTGGGAACTACTTTTTCTAAAATGGAGATTGTAATCCTTCTATATCTTAGCAAACAGTTTCATGAGTTGCTGTGGCTTAAAAAAAAATCTTATCATTTGATTATAATCCTACTAGTTGGTAATGAACATTTCCAAATTTAGTTAGATCTCTGGCTATTGCCAAATCTGTATCCAGACACTTTCCAGAGTGGTCTCTTATGTTCAGCTTATGGCTAGCTTATGTTCCATTGGCATAGACTTGGAGAACCTAGGGCCATTCTATATCATGATGAGTTATTAGAATAGGAATTTAGTGCAGACATCTTGTATGACAAATTCATAAACCCCAAGACCCAGGCTGACATTCTGTCTACCAAACAACTTCAATTTTTTTAAGATTTAAATACGTTGATATATGATGCCAAATTTTTAGAAATAACTGAACAAATTGATGGAATTTTAAATTGTCATTATGACATACAGCAAAGATAGTTACAATCTCCTTTCAGATTTCTAGTCATTCATTCATTCATTCAGTAAGGACTTATTAAACAGTTTTGTGTTGATACTATATTCATCTATATGGGTACTGAAAAAAGCAAAAGATAACCCTCACCTCTGAAGAGCTTAGGTAACTGAAGAGACGAAAACCATAACTTTATAGGATTTAGAGCTCAAAGGCAGGTAACTTGAAATCAAATAGTAGCTCATAATGGTTCACATTTATATTACTTTAAGGTTTGAAAAGTGCTTGATATCTAATCCAGCCTGTTCATTTCACTC